CCTTAGAGAACTGGAAAAGCAGCAGCAAAAAAATCCCAAAAACTCCAGGAGAAAGGAAATAATAAAGATCTGAGCAGAAATAAATGAAATAGGAAACAAAGGAACTATACTGAAAATAAATGAAAGTAAAAGCTGGTTCTATGAAAAGATAAACAAAATTGATACACCACTAGTGAGACTTATTGAGAAGAGAGAATGAAACCAGGTGAATCAGAACTGCAATGGAGCAGGCAAATAACAACAAACATAGTAGAAATACAGAACATTATTAGAGGATACTATGAACATCTGTATGCCAAGAAACAAGATGAGATGGACATATTCCTGGGCAAATATAATCTACCAAGATTGAGCCAGGAAGATATAGAAAGTCTAAATAGGCCCATAATAAGACAAGAGATAGAATCAGTAATAAATAACCTCCCAACAAAGAAAAGTTAGTGTGAATAGACAGCCCTCAGAATGGGAAAATATTTTAGTAAACTATGCATCAGATAAGGAACTGATAACCAGAATTCAGAAGGAACTAAAGCAGCTGTTCCGGAAAAAGATGATCAATTCTATTAAAAGTTGGGAAAATGAGTTGAAAAAAACACTTTCAAAAGATGACATCGGAATAGCCAGAAGGCATATGAAAAAATGCTCAACATCCCTCATTGTAAGGGAAATGCAGATCAAAACAACAATGATGTACCACCTAACTCCAGTCAGAATGACTAGGATTAATAAAACAAAAAATGATAAGTGCTGGCGGGGGGTGTAGTGAAAGGGGGACTCTCTTACACTGCTGGTAGAAATGTAAATTGGTCCATCCACTGTTGAGAACAATTTGGAGATTCCTCAAAAATTTACAAACAGAACTACCAGCAATCTCTCTCCTTGGTATCTACCCAAAGGACAGAAGAATACTTAATCGTAAAAGTGCTTGTGCATCAATGTTTATTGAGACACTATTCACAATTGCTAAGTCATGGAAACAACCCAAATGCCCACAAACAGATGAATGAATAGAAAAACTGTGGCAAATATACTCAATGGAATACTATTCAGCCCTAAAAAAAAAAACCCTGGCTTTTGACAGGAAGTGGATGAATATGGAGGACTTACTGCTGAATGAAGCAAGCCAGACTATGAAGGAGAGGCATTGTATGTTCCCGCTTAATATATACCGAATGTCTGCACTCTATGACTGAAACTAATTCACTAAAGGATATAGAAACACAGTATATAGATGTAAATACCAGATATAGTATGTCTGCAAGAGGAAGGTCTGAGGAAGGAGATTTAGAAGAAAAATAGGGAGGCAAAGTATTGATGTCACAGGAAGGTGTGGTATCGTCTGTTGAGAATGTTTTTTGGTTCAACTGTATTGGGGAGAGATGCCCACCTATTGAAATATCCATTTTGTAAGACAAATAATAATGTGATTGAATGTATAAAATAAAATGAAATGAAAAATAAATTAATTGAATAGGAAAAAAAAAAAAGAAATCGCTCTACATTCCCCAAATAGATTCTAATTAGTGCTGGAATACAGGATTAGTTACATAGGACAAACAGTAACATATGTTCCATCTGGATTTCCAGATCTGAAATGTCTTCAGACATTTTTGCACCTTTACAGAAAGATAGTGTTGTCTACTAGCTACAATTAAGGGGAATAAAACACACTTGAATTATTATCTTCATAATTATACCATGGTGGGTGATAGGTTCAAGATGTCAAGAACCAGAAACCATATATTGGTTATAAAGCCATGACATGGGACCAGCAGGTCATGTAATGGTTACATTGCTGGCCTCCCAAGTAGTCGACAATAAATTGAATCCTGGACCCGGCAGCTTGAAATTTACACAAGGTGTGTATGCATGCCCAAGATCCTTAGAGGAGAATGGAGAAAAATGGAGAAGGAGTTGCAGCGTGGCCACCTGCCCTCCCTGCCCCCCTCCGCCACATAGATTTCTTGCCTTCTAGCTATCTCTCCAGCGAGCATACACACTCTACAGCAAAAC